ATAATCGCTTTTAAATACATTTAGATTTATTTTCGTAGAGGTATTCAAGTCAACCAATATTGCATCAAAACAGAAAAACTGGACAATAAAGCTATATCTTAAGTCAAGTAGTTCTAATTGTAAATTATAATAATGCTTACGCAAATGTTCTATTTAAATTGTTTAAATAACTGCTTATCTTGTTTAGCTGTACTATGTAAACACTCTACCACTGTTACCTTATTGTTTAAATCTTTCTATTTGTGTAAACAAGATCTTGTTTGAATAGGAAATCTTTCTAATATCTGCACGTTTTAAATTACATTAAATATTTTTTTTTTGATAAATTTTCAATGTAATAATTTTTTTTGTATTTATTATGATATAAATGTGTAATATCTGTCTCTGTTCCTTAAACTTTAATATATTTTTATGGCTTCATATCTCAATATTTTTGGAATGTATAACTACTAAGTAGTGTTAATATGGTATTTATTGGTGATATCTGTGCTTTGCTCTTATATAAATCATAAGAGAGTGAATATGATTATTGAAACCATCCATCTGTATTGGGACGGCCTACTTTGTTACAACAGGAACTGTACGCTACCTATCAGAAATAAACAAGAGCTGCATCATCTATTTATAATATGTATAGTTAAAATCACTGTTATATAGTAAATACTACTGGTACTTTATGACTGACTGACTAGGTAAACAATTATTTAACTCCTTCAACTTTATGAATGTACTCTATGACACACCAATGTACTGGTTTTTAGTTGTCTGTTTGAAGTTAAGTTGTGAATTATACTTGCAATCTCTGTACATATTACACTATGTAATATTCAGAAAATTTACGGATATATTATATGTGTAAGTAATACATACTGAGTTTATAAAAAGAAATTGTATAAGTATATGGGAGCGACAGTAAGGGTCTAGAAGAGCCACTTGCGAACCACAGTTTGGTCAATGTGGATCTACATTAATAATGAATAAAACTCCAATTTCTTACATTGATAACTTAAAAATGCTACTTTATTGCAGCTAAGTTCGTCCAACAGTTTGTTATTCATCTGTTAAATAGATGATCTTTTATAAATTTTATATCAATGCAGGATCTTCCAAAATAATTGCTGCTATTTTAAATTACTTTCTTTTCGTTAATTATTATCCAAGAAATACATGACATACATCGATCATTAATCGATAGTGTAACTGTTTTAAGTTTTGCCTCCCTTCTGCATTCAAATGTCTCATCATCTACTACCTCTAGGAAACACCATAAACAAAAGTGGTAACTTCTCACAAAGAAGGTATTTCACTATGCAGTTTGCAGAGTTGGAATCGCTTATCATTGTACAACATAAGTAATCTGCAGAAGCCATAGAAGCGTGGCTGCCATGAGAGGAATGATGACATATATGCCATGGTGAGTGTAGGAAGAATTTGAGTGTCAGTTGGATGTGTGCCGTGTGACACGAGGTGTACGCAGTGAGAAATTGTAGTGGGTAAATGTGAAATTTGGGCAGTTTTCCAATGTTTTAATGTACATTACAATATTCTTGAATAATAATTCACATAATCACAATAATTTAAAATGGTAGTTTTTTTTTATAATTATTAAAGTTTAGCATCCATTTAAATTATCTGTAGTAATTTTTTTGAGGGAAAATATCCCATGAAAAATTATTTTTACAAAAATTTGGATGTTATTTACATAATTTAGAAGAAATATTTCACAACCAAGTCTGATTGGAAACTTTTATACTAGCTAAAAAAAAAAAAAAAGACTTCCTTTCATTCAGGAGAAACATTTCAATATAACATGTAAAGTACTAAGTTATTTTTATGCCTTTTACAACGATTAGCGACATGACTTTGTGTTGGAAATAGCCATTACCTAATGGGTACTTTATGCAGATTTGCATTAATGTGCAAGGCCTGGACTTTAAGCATGCACTGAAAGAAATAATGACAAAGTTAGTCAAAACCAATCCAATATTTAATAATTTAATAATGACTATGTACAAAAATTAGTAACAAACAAACAACAAATTTATTCGAAGAAAATCAATAAGAATTGACTCGACAAAAACTCAAATCAACCTATTTGCTAACTTAAATCTATTCCTCTTTGGAACTCGACAAAAAATTCAAAGACTTAACTTATGTACAACAATTCTTATGAACTAAGGTCCTAATCGTCACCTCAATATACTAGGAACCTTTTTCCTTAACTCTCAAGACTTTTTAATCTTTGATCCACAAATCGAATAACTTCAAATCACCTTGGAACCACTTTATCGCTATTGGACACCTCTTGTCGTTTGCTGCTACGAAGCTCACCACACTCGTTGCTAACAGAAACTCACTTCGACCATCTTCACTTGAGGTTCGGACTTTATACTATGAGGTGACATCACAATTCTGATTGAGATCACTCCCCTCATTTACATACTTATCGCTAACAGTAAACTTTTCCTTTCTGCCTAGCAGCCTATTTCCTGACAATTCTCGCTAACCTTTTACATTATTCTTTTTTACAATTTTTCAGGATGTTTTATTCTTTAAGGTTTAGCAAGTTCCTAAGTTGTGCTTGTGGTGTCTCACCCTTTTCTTGGTGCGGACTTACTTTTTTCTGCTCGGGAGCGCAAGTGTGCGCGAGTTTTTTCTACAGCGCTTTTTTTTTTCATTGGTGAGTTGGTTCTGTTTCTTCTATTTTTAAGTTTCTAAGGTGAGTGATGAAGAAACCTTCGTCCTAACAAAATATAAGCGCCAAACAAAATAGAATAAAAAGCAAAATAAAAAATAACGCTCAGACTTGGTTCCTTACAAAAAAAATTGGCACTCTGACAAAAAAATGTGAGACGAAAATTAAATCAAGATTTCCTATAATAAATGAATGACTTCGTAATAAATGACTTCCATTTTGATTAAAAAAAAATTAGCCAGAAACTGTTAAATTGGCAAGTCTTATTCCAATCAAACTGACTACTTCGACGTCATAGTTATTTTAGAATTTCAAATTACATTCATACCAAATAAAATCTCTAAATATTTTCATAAATGCTATTCATTTCTTCTTTCTTAACTGTACAAAATTCACTTGCAAAAGGAATAAAGATTTTTCAAATTATTTTAAAACTTTGAGAAATAAACTTTTCTAAGATTTTTAAATTTTAAATTAGTTTACGTTACTTTTTAAATATTTCGAATGATTACGTCAGAGGAACTGTCAAGTTGGATCCTACGAGTAAAAAGATGCGGGAAGGCAGATTAAGATGCTTTGAACATGCAGAGAGAAGAGGCGAGGAGTATTTTGGAAAGAGGATCGGGAAGTTGAAAGTGACAGGAAAGAGGCCAAGACGAAGAGTCAGGATGAGAGAGGATGCCCTGGATAGAGAAAAGTGGAGAAAACAGATGGAAATGTAATTAATATAAGCATGAGAAAAAAGCAAAGATGAAGAAGAAGACTTCAAATATCTTACGGATTACAATAATACTTTTAATAGAAAATTTACTTCCATCCACTTCTGTGAATCTATTTTTAAAAAATTTAACTTCCAACAGAGCTACTTTGCAAAGTATTGCAATAGGTTATATTAATACATAAAAATATAAATACAACTTTAACAAAGGTAAAACATTGCTTTTGTCTTTCTTTTTGCCATTCTTTCTTTTAAATGTAGATAATTTTCTACCATGTATTTCTATTTTTGGCCATGTATTTCTATTGGTTTTTTTTACTTAAGAAAATTGGTAAAAAGTGTTTAAGCATACTTTTTACCAATAAGAAATTAATTTATTATGTATAAAATATTTTCGTGTAAGCTATTTCAAATGGCACATCTGTCCTTACCACAGTTATGATGATTTTCTGATAAAATACAGGATGTTTATAATTAAAGTTTTACTTTGAAATGGCCATAAAATGAAAACTACTGGACAGAATGTTATCAAACTTGGTAATAGTGTACAGGACGTCATCAGTAATAGTGTATAGGACACCCCATGACGTCCTGTACACTATTACAATAGTTCAAAAACTCACCACCCAACGGCAAATGGCACTGTCTGCAATATCAATTTGTTTGAGAATGAAATCACTACTTTGGGCACGAAACATCCTGAAATTTTTTGTATTTTTGTAATGTGTCTTTCAAAGCACTACTTTTCAAGCGATTTTGTATATGACCATCTACAAGAATGTGAGTGTTATACAGTCGATATGATTGTACATAATTAAATGCTTATTTTTATTTCAACTTTCATATTCTTATCAATTGTTTCTATTAATTAATTCATTAATTATCTAAATTATGCTAAATGTCCGTTTTCTTCTAACCATCTCTCTACTTGTTTAAAGTATGATCATTGAACATTTTGTGGGTAGAATAATATTTTCTCTTATAGTTTCAAATTCCGATAATACATTATCCTTTAGACTTTGTGTTATTCTAGATCAATTGACGTAAACCTCAGGTTTGCGGTAGTCCCATAAGAAATAATCTAAAAGGAGTTATGCATAACAACTTGAGTGGCCGTTCAATAGACACTCATCATTCAACGTAAATGATTTTCGTAAAAACTTCTGGGCAGCTTTCTTTTTTGAAAAGTCAGACTTTTAATGCACACTGTATCTTTTTATATAGTGTACTTATTTAGCAGTTATTGCTTTATAGAAGATGTGATTTATCAATTTTTCATTCCAGTTTATGTAAACTAAATGATAAACTTTACTGTATATTGACAAAAACAAAGGAAATTATACAGCAAAACTCCAGTTATACAGACCAATTGTGACCTTGAGCTGTCTGGATAATTGAATTTTTGCTTAAAATATTTTTTTTTTTGTATCCAAATATCCCGTTTATGTACATGCATACATAATTATGTGCAAATAAAATATTAAATATAGAAATGTACAGTACTTACAAATGAAAATAGTTTATTTTCTATTGCTTAGCGTTATTTTATACGAATGCTCACAATAATTTAAAAATGTTACTTTATAGGTAATTATTCGGTGGTTTCAAAAAACTCGTCATACCTATTCTGTTAATAAAACAATTCCGTGGTACTATTATCCCGCATATGGCATGGATGTAGGGCTCCGAGTTGTGCGGGGCCCTGACTGGAAGTGGCAGAATCAAGATGACGGGGAAGGTCACGTTGGAACCGTGGTTGAGATTGGAAAACCCGGAAGCACGACTTCTCCCGACAAGACCGTTGTAGTCCAGTGGGATTCCGGTTCTCGTACAAATTACAGAATCGGTTACCAAGGTGCTTATGATCTGAGAGTGTTCGACAATGCTCCGATAGGTAAAATATTCTAATATATAAGTAATTCTAAAATTGAATTTTATTTCAATCAAAGATTTATACTTTAGGTATAAAGCATCCAAATATTATTTGCGACGCGTGCCGAAAACATGGTATTGCCGGCATGCGCTGGAAATGCAATAGGTGCTACGATTTTGACTTGTGCACGCAATGCTACATGTCCGAAAAACACGATCTGACTCATCCTTTTTTGAGATTGGAAACCACTGCATCCGCAGGGTAAGTAAGAGAATTAAGAGTTTATTTACTTAATCGTTTAAGACAGAGAATAAAATTGCAAAAGGTAAATGATCATTATTTATTTTTTATAGTGTCGAAATGCCAAAACGTCAAGGAACGCTCAAAATTCAGGCACGGGGCATTTTTGTTGGCGCTAAAGTTATGCGAGGACCTGATTGGGACTGGGGAAATCAAGATGGTATAGTGCTTTTCTGAAATTTAATGGCGGAATTGACACAGTGCATTGTTATATATTATATATATATATATATATATTTTTTTTTTTTTAATAAGGTGGAGAAGGAAAAACAGGAAAAGTCATAGATATTAGAGGTTGGGATAACGAATCTGGAAGGAGTGTCGCAAACGTAACTTGGACTTCGGGATCCACTAACGTGTACAGGTTAGGCCACAAAGGTAAAGTGGATCTAAAATATATTCAAGATTCTCCCGGAGGATATTATTTTAGGGATCATTTACCTATTTTAGGTATGTCATATTTTATTTCTTCCATTTAAATTTATTATAAGTTTACTAGTGATTTTAAGTATATTTTAATAAAATTTAATGATTGAGATGCTTTTTTAAATGTCGTGTGATGCACTCTTAATGCATGAGAATTTAATATAACAAACCATGTTATTTTATTCCTCTTTCTGATTTGCAAGATGAAATATTTGATCAAGTGCCAATTGATATTTACTAGAACACATTATTCTAATTACAAGTCAACAAGATTGGAAGTTTAGTGTGCTTATGTTTGTAGGAATGCAACATGGTTAATTTTGACAAAAATTCTTAAAAATCCATGATATAACAGATGAGTACCTTTTGCTTATTACTATTTTCTGGCATTTAGTTTACAAATTCAAATGAACATTTTTGACTACTTAAGTGGCCCAAAATGTTCATTTGAACTGGTAAACTGTGGCCGAAAGTGCTTGTTTGAACTAGTGAATATTTGTCCCTGTTTACAAGAGGTCTTCAGGTATGAGATACACTTGTAAATTATGGTTACACTGTATTATGAGTTTAATAGCTTTATTTATTTTCATAAAACACAAAAAAAGGCAAATTTTGTCTAAAAAATATAATACTTTAATTATGAATTCTGACATTTTTAAATTAAGTTTTCAAATAAATGTCAAAATAAAACACTTTGCATACAGAAGTTGATACAGCTTGAAGATTTTTGCATTATAACCGATCTGAACATTTGGAAAATAAACACTCAACTGAAGAAGACCTATCAAATTAGGTTGATTTAGCCTAATTTGCTGGAGTTGACTTCTAAGGTGTGAATTTATTTTCTTATATTTCCTTCAGTTTCTGTATTTTGTTACATCCGAACGTTTAAATAAATATTTATAAGCTTTAGATAATGTATGGAAATATCAAAAATTGCCATATTTTCCAACATATTAGATGCATTTTATTTTTTTTTTAAATTTGACCTACAAAATCAATTTGTTCCCTATATGATGCTTGGAATCTATTGTAAATATCTCAACTTTAACAGTCCAAACTACTTCAGAATTAATATATAAAGGTGTAATTATATGTATTAATATTATGCATGCAGGCTCACTACACTGTAGAATGAAGTTCAACATACAGTTTAATATGCTTCCACTAATATCTTTAATGCAGTTCTCCAATGAATGTTGTAATACTTGAATTATTATAAAAATATATTGAAGAAATTTGAAACTTTAGGAATTACCGTAAATAAAGAAAAAAAACATTATATCCAATAAATCAAAAATGTGATCAGCAAATAACATTTATATTATATTGATTGGAAACAGAAAAAATAGATTCTGAATACTATTATCATTCTAACATTAATTCAGCTTTATCCTTGAACTGCATTTGCCGTTCTAGAACTCTCCCTTAACTTGCGTTTCATTAGCCACAGTTCCTTTGATCTCTCACATCTATACAATAAAACTCACATTTGTTTAGTGTTGTAAGTATTTCTGATTTATTCAGCCATTAATAATTGTTTCTTGTGTTAAAGAACAACATATTGTCTATATTATTCACGTATAAATTATAAAATACTATATAATAGTTTTATTATTATTATTATTATTATACATAATCTTATTTTGTTTTTTCACATTAGAGTAGATATAAACTTGTTTCCGATAATGTTTTTCCTACAGAAACATAATTCTCGGTGATACTAGATTTAATTAATAAAACTTAAACAAATATTTTATTGAATAATTTTGTTTAGGTTACAAAATATATTCGAATGCAACTGAATGTTAACCTAGTTGGTTCCTTACGATAAGGAATTAATAAGCATAACACTTGATTTATTTGAATATTTTATACAAAAATGTATTTAGAGCTTCACTAAACTACATCAAGTATTATTCAATTAGTAATGATGTAATATTTGAAATTTTTTGAACAGTAACATAGCATTTGATAGTTTAAAGTATTTTTAGTGAATAAAAAAGCGTAAAAATTCATTAAAGAAACTTTGGCAATGCCATCATTTTTGATCTTATTGGTCACCATCGGTCTTATCAGCATTACATCAAAAGTATTTTTTATTTTTATATTAAACATGTTCATAAATTTTACCAAGTTATATAAGCATTGTACTTTTGTAGAAAGATGTGCTTTTGTTATACAGACATCTACTAGTTGTGTATATAAATATTGGTCTGCTTTATAAATAAACAAAGACAAAGAAGTAGCTAATATTAATAAACAACAGCAGAAACTGGAGAAAGAACTTACAAACATAAAGCGACACCTTGTATCACTCCGGCAAATGAATTTAACAAACGCAAAAATGTTTTCGGATCCATCTTGGACCGTCTTTAGTGGCAGAACACAAAAAAGAAATAGAATGTATGAGCTCAATCAAATGATCGCCTTAATTAATCGTGCTATAAATGTGCTGTTCTTAATGATTAGATATTAAGTAATTTGGTACTAGAGGTACACATCAGATGCCATCTCTTGTTAAGTAATTTGGTTCTAGGTGCCTACTACCAAATTACTTGATATCTAATCATTAATAATAGCAAATTTATAGCCCGATTAATTAGGTAATTGTTTGGTTGAGTTTCAATGTATCGGGATTCTGGAACTTTATTTATTTTTTATTATTTTTTTTTTTACTTGCCTTAAATGTTTAGCTGAATATTAAAAATCCTGTAGCTATTTTACACTAACTTCATAGATGTTGAAGAATTGAAACTTAAATCATTCAATGTTTACTTTAATTAATAAATTCCAAAATACTAGCAAAAAAAATTTGTAAAATATTAACTGGATGTCATAAAATGTAGTATGGCTAGACGTAGAATCATATTTTCATATAAAACATGTCCTACCAATTTCTTTATGTATAGCTAGATAGAAATAGATAGATACAAGGGCATAGATAGGAATGAAGAAAGGTTATTTAAACAAATGACAAACACTTGTAAGATCAGTTTTAAGATAAAATAAATTGAAGCACAACAAAAGCTTGTTGCAAGCTTGACTTTGATTAGAATGCCGAAGATTAATGGGGTAAGAAATACAGCACTATGATTTTCCAAAGGGGATAACTTTCTGTTGGAAATTGGCCCCTATTTAGGTGTTAGATGTGTGAAGAAATCCTAGAAAACTCCATGTGATCAACCCATTGGCAAGGCATGAATCCCACAACCGACTATCAGTATTCGGTAGCATTATCCACTCAGCCACTGGTGGGTTAAGAATGCCGAGAACACTAAACTTGGCATACCATTCCTCAGTGTTTGGATAAATTCAAGTTACATAAAATAATCTAAAGTGTTCAATTTTTGTAAATTCATCAAAAGAAATCTTTACTAATAATAAATCTAGCATAGAAAAAAAGGTTTTATTTCTTTAACATTATTCAATTTTATTTAAATTATTAATAGAGTTTTCAGTAACCCAAAGAAGCAGTTGCAAATAATATATTTACCTAATTATAAATGTTATCAACATATAAGATGATAATAAAATGTAGATTTAATTCATAGAATAAATTTTTTAAATATATTTTGTGCTCTTCTACTAAGTATATTTCCAACTGCTCTTAAAGATATAAATTTATAATTTTATTCTTGATGTATTGTGGAATTCGGTTTATGTTAAAAATATATCGTTATCGCAGGTCAAACAGTCGAAGCTTATTCGGTAAATCCTTCGGCCATGAAACATCAGTTTAATGTCGGAGATAAAGTCAAAGTGTTGCTTGATGTCGAAAAGCTTAAAGTTATGCAAGAAGGTCATGGAGGATGGAATCCTAGAATGGCCGAAGTAAGTACTTGCTATTATTTTGTCTTATATTTGTATTTGAATAAACTTTCATTAATGAGAGTAGTTAGATGATAATAGAAAAAAAAAGTTTTACACACGCACATTGTTCATTTATAAGGAATCACCTGGTTTTGACGTGGTCGACCTTGAAATTTTTTTATCGTGATAAAATCAAGATTTTATCTAACCTATACAATTAGCAGTTAAGAAATAAAATGCACAGAATTTTTCTTTTGGAACCTTCTAAGTTAATTATTAAATTTATTGAAGAGATGGCACCTAAAGCCTATCTTAGACCAAATTATTTGACATTTAATTAGCAATTAATAGCATTGTTATAGTCAGATGTAAAATTTTAGCATTTTTGTGCTGTTTTCAATGTTTATCAAGATACAGATTTGATAAATTAACAGTAAGAAACATTCTGATTTTAAATGAGCATTTAAAGTTGCATAAGTTGCATTTATTTTCATAGACTTTTTTCATAATAAAATTCTCGTTTACATTTTTCTTTTTTAAAATATTAATAAAAAATATAATAAAGTAATATCATATAAATGTAAATGCAAATGCATTAAAGTTTTCAATTTAATTTTGATAAATCTTTTCTTTAATATACTTCAGAGAAAATTAAGAAACTATATAATGACAATAATAAATTTTATTTCACTTTCAAATACTATAACATCTTTTTTAATGTTTTTAATATTTTTGAGAGTTTAATTTAAATATCGACATAATGACTATGTTAAAAAGAAAGTCTATTGAGGCAGATTTGAATGTCCCAATTTCAATTATATGATGAGAAAATTTTATTACAATATTCTTTATTTCACTTTAAACAGTAGTTTCATTTTATTGCTATTTAAATCCTTTATCATTGCATACACACAGTCTTTTAAAAAGAATGCTACCACTTTACATTACCATAATTGTGTTAATTATTATCCGAGAATGTTGTAACATACATTAAAATATTGGAAAATCGTTCAAGTCTTAAATTTTCCCATTACAATATCTTGATGCCTGCACTTCGTGTTGCATGGCATACGTTTGACTGTATTAACCAGTCAGGTGTGCATCTCGATAATCTGAAACAACACCATTGTTGCGTGACATTTTCTGGTTTTTATATTAATTTTTAAATTTGTAATATTTCACTTAAAAATTGTTGTAGATCTGATCGGTTTTTTGCCTTTTATCATTCACATATCATGCTTTACGATTGTTTACTTCAAAATATTATGTACATTTAAAAAAATTTATAAAGTTCGAGAATTCAAAAAATAAAAAATTTTTAATAAACATCCGATTAATCTGTTATATATGTTAGATAGATAGGTCTATATTTACACAAAAAAAAAAAATGCAGCTTTCTAAACCGATGTAGAGAAATAATACGACCTATAGATTATAAAGCCGATTGGCATGGAAGGGGGTGGTGATTATTCTAAATTTAGGTCAATACACTTTTTAGTATTGATGATGTATATTTGATTCTATTTATGTTATTTACATTATTGTATTAACAGTGGTATATATCAAGCGATTATTACTTTACTGTATTAATGATTGTACGTGTATTTCTTACGTATTACGAAAGTTCCATGATAACCGGAAGTACTTTGTTTTTTAAAAGATTTATGACTGGATGGTTTAAAAAACATGCTTATTTGTTAAATAGGATAAATATTTATAAAAATTTACTAAATTCAAGCTAAAAATAGACGAGAATAATGATTTATAATTGTTTGTTTACATTTGTAGCTAACAATGTAGCTCCGATAAAAATAACTTTTTCCCAGAAAGTTCCCACCCCACAAACCCAAGTCAATGCTTATTCGTTAAAGGATAGTCATTTAACTATAATATACCAATTAGAGGTCAACAGACGTGC